TAATTTCATTGTTATGATAAACGTTCTTGTTACACCAAATTCAGTAAATTTCGACTTTGCACTGAATTGTCACTATGAAAAAAACAACTTATTTTGAAATCCTTGCATTTGTATTGAATCATTTGGAGTGTCTTTGTTGTAGGGAGTGGAGTGCAGATGTTGAAAGAAGGTGAAGGTGATTTAGGTGCAATCTTAGTAGCAGCAACATTCTTGCCTGTGAATCCCTTTTTGTGCAAAGCAATGATGACTGCACGTGTTTTCTAAAGGTGCCCATACACCTTACGATTATCGTAAGATAATCGTATGCGATTGCGTTTTTGTCCGATAATTGCAAGGTGTATGGGCAGTGTGCAACCGCAAATACTGTACAATCGTACGAGTTTTGACTTTTAAGCATGTTTGAAAACTTTGGTCGATCGTACGATTTTCGCAAGGTTAGTGGCGTTTCCGTATGTCAAAAATCGTACGATCTACACTGCTCGTGCGCAAACGAAAATACGTGCGGTCGATTACTGCAATTCGTCCAGATGCTTTTCTTTCATTACGGCTAATTGAACCTTGCGATAATCGGGGCAGGATGGGGCTGCCGTCACGACAATCGTATGACGGTTCGATCATCGCAAGGTGTATGGCCACCTTTACAGGTAACCATGGTTAACAGAGGAACAACAATGATTTCAAGCACCACCCTCCTTTCAAAGCTTCCAGTCTGTTAAGGTGGCCATACACTCTACAACCATCGCAAGACTTCAGTCTTGCGATGGTTGTAAAGGGATTAAAAAAACGTACGATCTGCCCATCTTGGACAGGCAGATCGCACTCTCGATCATCGCAAGCCCGCCCCCCTGAGGGGCGGGCTTCCGATGACCGCAATGCTGAACGGGCAGTGTGCGCGTGCGCACACCGGCCCGTTCAGCATTTATCTTCCGAGCACCGTTCTAACCAGCCGAGAATCGTACGATTCCCGGCTGGTTTTCGAACATGCTGGTTCGACAGAAGACGTGCGACCGTACAGTAGAAACGGTCGCACGTCTCCGTTCACACTGCTCGATTATCGTACGAAAAACTGATCGCATACGATTATCGTACGATAATCGTGCAGTGTATGGGCACCTATATTCTAACGCAATCAGCATGACAGAGTGGTCTCCAGCCTTGTCCTCGTCAACACTGACACCTGCGTTAACGAGAGAATCACTGACATGCTTGACGTCAGCTGGTCCTTTTGTGGCAGGGCTGAAATGCAGTGGAAATGTTTTTTTGGGGATTAAAAGAGAACTTAGGTGTTCCTTAAGGTGGCCATACACTCTACAACCATCGCAAGACTTTAGTCTTGCAATGGTTGTAAAGGGATTAAAAAAACGTACGATCTGCCTATCTTGGACAGGCAGATCGCACTCTCGATCATCACAAGCCCGCCCCCCTGAGGGGCGGGCTTCCGATGACCGCAATGCTGAATATACAGTAATTTAGTCTAAAGTGCTAAATTCTTAACAGTAATGCAGCATTAAAAGGAGAACTATGAGATGAGTGCTTTTCACTCACCTCATAGTTCTAGCCGACCTGTGACAATGAGACTGTCACAGGTTGGCTCAGTAGATTGGGAGGTGAGCGAACACATACCGGCGTTCGCTCACCTCTCGATCCTGTCACGGCTCTCTGCCAGCGCGGATCGGATGGGGGAGGGGGAGGGTACAGCTGGCTCTGCCTCTAGATAGGCTGAGCCAGCTGTCAATCACGCAGCTGGGCGGATCCCGGCACAATTGTCGGGATCCGCTTCAGCGTCTCAGTATACCGCGAGCTTCAGCTCGCGGTATACTGCGGCGTCTCAGTAGCTAGTTTGTGTCCTCCCGTTACCCTAATGAGAACTATGGGGAAAAGCCTTAACCCCATAGTACTCCTTTAAGTTAATTTTCATGGCAAAGAGGGACTGTGCAATTCATTGCAATTGATCTGACTCTTCACAACCTTCTGGAGTATATGCAAATTGCCACCATACACACCGAAGCAGCACACTTTGGGAAAATGAATATCTGTGTCATTCTCAAAACTTTTGGCCACCACTGTAGTTGATCTCCTCCTGACCTGCAACATCCGCCTCAAGTGGGCTTTACACCCCCATAGACTTGTGTGGAAATGCAAAACCCATTTGAAGTAAAGAAAAACCCGCTGACCCTGGCCCTAAGCATTATGAGTCACAATAAAAGGGAAGGACAATCTCGTCTTGAAAAGAGGACATTTCCCTCTGGACTGCCCTGCACAAAAAGAGACGTGAGGAAGTATTCTCAGTAGAAGCAGCCTATCATATGTTGCAGCAAATTCTTGGAAATACGCAGGTTTCACAAAAGTCATGGCGGAAAAGTAAAACATCAAACAAAAAAAGCATTCATTTTTTTTTTTTCCTACTAGTGCTCCATAAAAATCTACTACTTATCTCTCCCTTGGCGGCACAAAACATGATATACACATGAAACTCATTTTCATGTTCAACCTAAAGCTGAACTCCAGCTATAGCAATGTATGGATTCTTACGTTGGTCCAGCCGTCGGCAAAGGGTAAGTGTAAAGCTGCCCATACACCTTTCGATCATCGGACAAAACTTTTCGTCCGATGATCAAACCGTCGTACAATTTTTGTACGCCGGCCCCATCTTGTCCCAATTATCGCAAGGTTTGATCAGCGGTAATTAGAAGAAAGCACCTGGACGAATTGCGGGAATCGACCGCATGTATTTTCGTCTGCGCATGTGCAGTGTAGATCGTACGAATTTGTGACATACGGAAACGCCACCAACCTTGCGAAAATCGTACGATTGACCAAAGTTTTCTAATCTACTGGTTAGTCAAAAGTCGATCGATTGTACGGTATTTGCGGTTTTGCACTGCTCATCAACCTTACGAATATCGGACAAAAATGTGTTGGCATACCAAAATGGACTGATAATCGTAAGGTGTATGGGCAGCTTTAAGGTGCCCATACACCTTACGATTATCGTACAAAACTTTTAGGTGTTAGGGTTGGGATGCTAGGGCTAGGGCCAGTGGCCATGATGTCACCACCCCCTCATCCAATCAGAGAACGCCTTGTATTAACTGAGAAAAATGCTTGGTGTACGCTGGCTGAATGAGTGCTGTGCCGAGTGAGCAATCGGCTGTGTTTTAACAGCAAGTCGCTTCGCACAGCAGCTCTTCCTGGACCCAGAAGACTTAGTTATAAACAGCAGTTTTTTTTTGTAGCAGGGTCCCTGTGGCCCTGCCAGGGATCATTTATAGATACTTATATTGTGCCAGCCTGCTGTGTTTGAACACCGGAGAGGAAGTCACTCATCACAGCTACTGCTGCTACTATAGTATTACATGATCCCCGTGGGATCATTTATACATACTTACTCTGTGCCAAGCTGGACCAATGTAAGTATACGGTAAAGGAGTGAAGTTCACACTTTTTTATATACCCAGTTTCGTATAATTATCGTATTATTTATATATAGAGAGAGAGAGTAGTGCAGACAACTTGTGAGGGATTGTTTTGCTCTTTGAGCTTCACATGTACGTTGCTCCTGCACACTTTGTGTTGATGATTCTGGAGGAAGTGGCGAAAGTACTGCCACAGCCACCCAAGGGGCCGTTATGGGGCCCGGGGAAGAAGGGGACCCAATCAGGACCAGGAGGGTGGGCTGCAGGGGCGCCACGAGCAGGGCACGTGTCCTGACTTTTTGCACGTTATCAGGGGATGCCGCGATTGCATTTTTTTGTTTGTGTTGCACGGCAATGCAGCACAATGTTCCAGTGAGGGTGTCTGTCTGCCCAGCTGGTGCATTTGAACTATTTCAGGACCAGCAATGCCTCAGAGCTATGGCTGCCGCTATAATAAGGCAGCCTGAGGCAGTGGCATTCCATTTTGGCAATGGTGGCATTTCATTAGAGGGGGTGGCCACAGCGTCCAGGTTGTTAAAGGAGAACTATAGGGTTAAGGCTTTTCCCCATAGTTCTCCTTACAGTAACGGGAGGACATAAACTAGCGTCCTCCCGTCACCCTAGGCTCAGTATACGGGGAGCTGTAGCTCACGGTATACTGAGACGCCGCAGTATACCGCACGCTGCTGCTCGCGGTATGCTGAGATGCTGAAGCGGATCCCGACAATTATGTCTGATCCGCCCAGCTGCGTGACTGACAGCTGGCTCTGCCTCTAGATAGGCAGAGCCAGCTGTCAGTCACGCAGCTGGGCGGATCCAGACATAATTGTCGGGATCCGCTTCAGCATCTCAGCATACCGCGAGCAGCAGCGTGCGGTATACTGCGGCGTCTCAGTATACCGTGAGCTACGGCTCGCTGTATACTGAGCCTAGGGTGACGGGAGGACGCTAGTTTATGTCCTCCCGTTACTGTAAGGAGAACTATGGGGAAAAGCCTTAACCCTATAGTTCTCCTTTAAGAGCTCTTGGCAATCTGTGACGCTCTCTCCGGCTTCCCGCCCAGCTCGCAGACATCATTGGTTGCAACTTGCCAGGGAGCTGAACGGGACACTCTTGCTGGCGTCCCGCCGAGCTCCATGCAACCAGTGACGTCAGTGGGCTAGGCAGGACGGGACAGAGAGCCGCTGACACTGCGGCCTAAATATAACCCTTTCAGGAAAACGTGTAACATTGTAATAATTTTAGGCTATTGCTTGGGCAATGGTGACTGGTTCTCTTTAAGACTCAGCCCTCTTCTATGCATTGTAAATCATTGCGGTCACGTCCATACAGGAATGGGTTATGTCCCCAGGTGGACCTATGCTGTACATGATTGACCTCACATAGAAGAATAGGGCTGAATAATAAAGAGAGAACCAGTCACAGCAGACTGTTCAGGTTCCCAAGCTAAGCTTCGCCCCGCCACACACACACGTACAGCCTTTCCGGCTATAGCCAGCCCCCCCTGTGGCGTCACTTTCCATGCATTGGCCAAAGGTGGGCGGATTCTGGTGACGATGGGCGTGTCTATCGCGAACATTCCCGTGACGTCGCTAAGGCTATATTAAGGCGGCGTGGCAGCCGGCTCTTCCCCCTTCGGCTCTGTAGCTGTGCACGGATCTTGGCGCTCCTCCATCACCATGGCAACAATCAGCTCTCTCCGAACCCTGCGCTGCGCCGCCAGAGTGCCGCTGCGGGCTCTGCACTGTACACCGGCCCGGTGAGTACCGAGGGCTCCGTGACTCCGGGGACACTTCCCATAATACTGGCTGTTGTAGCATGACATGCCCCCTGGAGGATGAGAAGGTGCATGCTGGGATTTGTGGTTCCGCTACAGCTGGAGAGGCACCGGCTACCTAACACTGACTGGTCCTATGGTGACCACAGAGCTTACAATCAGACGGTGACACCCTGAGCACCGGGCTGTCATTTCTGTGGTAGGATTGTATGACGATGATTAATGATGACTTCGGTGTGTGGCATCTGTACAATTCATCCACACACCAATCTGTCATCCTGTGTGTGGTACATTATGTATGTGAAATTGAATGTCGGGGTTTCAAGATTGTATGTAAGGAGTGCGGCACCGGATTGGACCTAATAGAAGATCCTGGTTTGGATGGAGTGAGGCACCAAATTGTACCGGGGGGGTTGGACCATGAGGGGCATCAGATTGTCTGGAGTGGGGCACCAGTTCGGACAGAGTGGGGTGCCAGATTAGATGAAATGGGTTTGCCACGTTGGACCGTGGGGGCCATCAGATTGGAGTGGGGTGCCAAATTTTATTTAATGGGGATGCAAAATTCGACTTGTTGGGATGCCAGATTGGACTGCCAGGGCAGTTAATTGTAAATGGAGCCATCACAGTGGATGTGGTAAGGTAGTTATGTACAAAGCGGTGTGATGACACATAGAAATACAATGTATCATGTCCCCATATCAATAGGATGGGGGGGCTGGATGGATCTCTGGGGTCTGCAGTATTCGAGGCTACGTTATATTTCAGAGAAAAGAGAAAGATCTGCACACAGACATGGACAGATCTAGAGGTGTACATTCTTCATGTACATGTAACATACAAGGGTTATAAATGTGTAGTGGTCAGGTGTATATCATGTAATGTGCAGGCTGGTACAGTGTGTGTGTGTGTATATATATATATATATTACGCACACATTTACATGCTTGCTGTGTGTACATGTGATGGGCGGCTCAGCGGTCTCGTGTACTATGTGATGTCGGAAGTCCTCGGTGGCTGATGAAATCCGGCTCACTGGTTGCATTCAGCTTCTTGTCCCCTCCCCCTTCTTTTAATGCCTCTCCTGTACAGCCAGTGTCATTACATGAGGGAGAGAGGATGCCGAGCTCTATACGCAGCGCACATCGCTGGGGGAACCTTCATTCTACAAACCTCACATCGCCTGTGTAATATTCCTTCATACATCGCCTGTGTAATATTCCTTCATACATCGCTCTATGTAATAATATTCCTCATTATATGAACCTCACATCGCTCTATATAATAATATTCCTTCATTATATGAACCTCACATCGCTCTATGTAATAATATTCCTTCATTATATGAACCTCACATCGCTCTATGTAATAATATTCCTTCATTATATAAACCTGGGTCCTATGGAGCCACCCTTGTGTGTGATAGTAAGCTGTGTGTCTCCACTAACAGACCCCGAAAAACAAGACCATCTCTTCTCCCTGTCCTAGCCTCTCCTTCCTCCCTTCCCCCTCTTCAAGCTAGTAGATGAACAGTTGCTGGGCTCTGCTCTGTCCCTTGTGATCTTGTACTGGACAGGAAGTTCAGGGAAGCCGAGCTGAGAGTTGGAGCCGTTTAGAAACCTGACTACGTGTTTGAGGAAAGATCTAAATACTTGGCTCGACAATTTATATTTGTATAATCTGGAGTCAATATTGGAGAAATGATTGAGAGTTTAATACGACATTCATTACATTAGAATAGGTGTCTGTATAACGCAGTCACGGCACACACATGTGGTCTGATCACATGACTGGCCCCCCTGGATAATAAGGAAATCAAATAAAAGAATGAAGCGCGCGTCACTGGAACAGTCCACGTTCAGCCAGATTCTGCCAGGTCGGCGCCTCTGTGATTTGTTTATCTAGAGCGGTATAGAGCTTCGTACACATTACAAAGAGAACCTGTCTGTGGGAGATGCAATGACCCTCGGGGGTTCTGGGTCCTATGTGGAATGACACACTTTGGAGGGACGAGGATACACCGGACTTGTCACATTATGGATATGACACACAGTGATGAAGACGACTGTTAATCATTACACAAGGGACACTTCCCATAAGGAGATGATGCAAGGTGGCCGCGTCTGGGTAATATTTTATGACTTCTAGAATAATCTATCAGACCAGAGATGTGCGTAGTGAGGCGCTGTCTGCGCGCCTAGTGAGGCGCTGGCTGCGCGCCTAGTGAGGTGCTGGCTGCGCGCCTAGTGAGGCGCTGGCTGCGCGCCTAGTGAGGCGCGGTTGGGTTCAGGTGATGACCTGTGTACCATGTTTTGTCTGGAACGAGTCATGTCTGGTATGAGACGCATGCCTCGGGTATTACTGGCTGGGGTCTGAATTCTGCCCTCACCCTGAACTGTACAGCAGAGATACTATACACAACCCATGACTGATGGAGGAAGTAGAAAACCTTCCCCGTGTGCCGGCCACGGCGTCTTTGATAAACTTACATTGCTGATCCCTGTTTTGAGCATGCTAGTTGCCTGGCAGTTACTCTTCCTCTGGCTTGAGGCTTGCAATGCACCAATATGTTTTCCCCCCGATGCATTTTCCAGTGAAGTCAATGTAAACATATCAAAACTTGCATCAGTGTGGATTGTGCGTTTTCAACATGCATCACAATGCGCTTTGTTTTAGATCATAATACACAGCAACATGAAATGGGGCATTTACGTGCTCAATGCGTGAATGAAGATGTGTTTTGATGCTGCTCATAAATCAAAAACACAGATGTGAGTGGAGTGCAGCCTGAGGCCCTGTTCACATGTACGAGAGGTGTGATGCACTATAATGGGGGGGGGGGCACAATGCTTTGGTGCGGCGCGCCTGGCCCGGTGTGTCCCGGTCACTATGTCACCCAGAAGAAGGGACCCTGTGTGGCCCCGAAAATGTGGGCTGTTTGACGCATGTGACAGTTTAATAAAAAAGTGCTTTACTTCTTGCACACCGAGTGCTGGTGACTTCTATTATGGACTGTATCTAACACGGCGCCATCCGTGTTGTCACTTCAAGCACCAACCTCTTACTCAAGGTCTGTATGGAGTGCAGGTGATTTCGTATTATCGCTCAGTGTGTGCTGGTGCAGCGCGGTGTACATTGCACTGTTTGCTTTTTTTACTTTGCTGAAATGTCACCAAATGACGTTTCATTCAACGTTGCACATTGCGGCACGTTAACATGCGGTGACGTGCGTTGCACTGCAAGAAAGACACGCCACATTTTTTATACGTTGCACGCCAATGCACATACATGGTGTGACCAGGGCACAGAACGGTTGTTTTCTATGTGTCCTTGCATTAAGCCTCCTTTGAATGTTGAACAGCGCAGCCTCATGCACCTTGTGTGAGCGAGCCCTCAATGCTGAGTGACCTGGAAGAAGTATGTAAAGGAAGAGTTGAGCTTTTGCTTGTTGCAGGTCAGTGACTGGAACATATTGCAGCTGATGACAGCCAGGGACCAACGTTTGTAGAAGGTCGGCACTGGAAGTTGACACGGGGTTTAAGTGTTTTTTTTTTGTATAATTTCCTGAAATCTGTAGAAGAAATGTGATTGGAGACATTCTACTGAGTCGGCCTGGAAGACGTCCTTGCAGCGCGCGATCATTGCAGCGTGCATCTATTTACATGGATTGCAAGGAGAGAATGCCGGGTCTTGGTAGCATGCTGATGCTCCTTCATTGAGCAGTTAAAAGAAGTGAATGTCAACTTTTTTTTTTTTTGGCTTTAGTTCTCTTTTGGATCTCAGTAGTAGATTTACCAATGTTCTCCTGTGACCCAAAATACAGAGGGCTACTGCCTGCTGTTTGCTGACAGTGCAGAGCCGTGCTGCAGCCGGGAAAGATCCAGACAATATTGTCAGGGTCCATCCCGCTGCCTGATTGACAGCTGGCTCTGCCGCTCTAGAGCCAGCTGTGCCCGCCCCCTCCCATCTGTCCCTCCAATGAGCTCTGGAGGAAAAGAGAAGGGGGGCAAACACTTAGGGGAGTGCTGATTGACAGTCACCGCTCTCTGCATGGAGGAGACTGTGAGCTGAGCTATCACCAGTTCTTGATCATTCAGTTCTCAATCTCTAGGGCCGGTATGTGATGCCTACAATATCCCACGCCGGCTCTTAGTATTGGGAAGAGTACATTTTACTCTACTCTAGGGCTGGTTCACACCACAACGTCCGCGTTCCAGTGCGTTCGGAATCATAGCGCTTGCAGTATTTTTGCAGATCACACTGGACCGTAACGCAGCCATTAATGTGCCTGCGTTCTAGGTGGGGGGTGTGGCTGCAGTGCCATTGAGTTCAATGCAGCGCCACGCCCCCTCCTGCCCCTGAAGGCAGGGAGCCAGCCAGCTTGTGTTTCAGAGGCCGAACGCACTCGAAGGCAGACTTTGTGGTGTGAACCGGCCCTTAAGGGGTGCCGCAGAGTTGTTGCATCACCTGCTGTTTATATAGTACGGCAGAAGCTGTGTGAAGCACAAGAAAGGCTGAGCAGAATTGGGTTTCAGCAGGTACAACAGTTCACATATGTATTTGGAGTTTGGCTGGAACTCTTCAAAACTCCTTGAGGGGAATTTATCAAAACTGGAGCAGACCAAATCTGGAGCAGCTGTGCATGGCAACCAATCAGCTTCTCTCTTTCAATTTCAAATCTTAACTGAACAAACTGAAGAGAGAAGCTGATTGGTTGCCACGGGCAACTGCTCCAGATTTAACTGCTCCAGTTTATGATGAATTCCCCTCTTTGTATACCTTTTCCAGGACTGTCATTGGCAGCTTGATGACTTGTATACTGGCCTCTTCAAGCTCCTGGAAACCTCAGTGTAGTAATATTCTAGTGTACTATAAAACGTTGGAGTCTATCTGCAAGACCAATGCCTTGTTATGGCTTCTGAAATTGCATGGAGAGGCAAACTGCTCTCATTATTGGCACCAAGGAGTGATGGGAGAAGCCAGGGATTCATCTGACCAGCCAATGTCCATCCAAAATTGGTCAGCGTGCTTCAATGTGCCCGGGACAAATCTGTCTTCTGTCCGAGTAGAATACATGGTCAGTGCTGCGTTGTGTATGTGGAATGTCTGCAGGCAGATTGTGCAGTGCATTCAGTAAAGTTCCTCCAGGGTCACTCCCACCCCTCCAATCTCCTACACACAGGCGGCACTGTGTGCCTTATGCCTCACGTCTAATGTTTACATTGCATGCTGCTCGCTGCTTCTACCGCAGTGTTTATGGAGACTGTTGGACATGGAGATTATATAACACGGCCGGATTGTTTCCTTTCAGTGTTTACCTGGTGGTATGTCCTCCTGCCGTATGACATGTATTGGGTTCATTCACATACATGAAGGGGTCTGTTGTATGTTCAGCGTATTCATGTAAATAAAACAAATGCTTCTATCTCAATTATTCTATTGGGCTCCTTGTGTCCTGAGAACTGGCCATTCATCACAGCTTTCTTTATACTTCCACATGATATTGTTTAGGCCTGGTTCACACCTGGGCTTTTTACAGCGCGTTCCTACGCTCTGTAAAACGCTCAACATGTGAAAACCAATGATTACCTATGGACATGGTTCCCACCTGGGTGTTTTACAGCGCGTAGGAACGCCCTACGCCCAAAGAAGTACAGGAGCTTATTTGGGGCATATTTGCCGCGTGTATGCTTTGGGATACAGCCAGGTAGCCCTCGGAAACGCGCATTTTTTAACCGCGAATCACGGTAAAAACGCGCAGCATGAAATGCGCGACAAACGCGCATATTTGATACGCCTAGGTGTGAACCCAGCCAGAGTTCTGGATGTAATGGGGCTGTTGGATAACTTTACAGTCTTCCACATAAGCTATGACTTGGTTCTGGTCACAGAGTGTAACTTTATCCTCTCCTAAATTTAGCTAGGGTATGGTCTCCTACCTAGAATGGGCTGCAGGGGAATTATGTAACAGGAAGCTGACATTTGATAAATGAGACTTTCCAAACAAGTCTGAGAATTGGATCTGATGAATAACTTTGAAAGTTCAGTTTAGAGCTTTTTAAAGTCAATTCTATACCTAGAGCAGTTAAAGCCGAGCTCCAGACAGAATGTTTCTTAACCCTTGCAATGGTCTACCCCCACACTGCAAGGGTTAACTGCTCATTTTTGTCTAGGTGCTAAAAGAAAGTTTTACTCATCTGATCTTCAGAGCTGGCTGGCAGCTACTCCGGTCACTGAAGCCCTTTTCTTCCTTCTTTGTAGCGATGGTATGTCCCTTGGTGTCCTCATGTCCTATACCTGTATATAGAACATGATGACTCGAGGATCCTTAGACCGCTGCAGCGAGGGGGAGCGAAGCTGGAAGGAATGGTCTAAGAGTAAGCCGGCTCCAAGGATCAGGTGAGGAACTTTTTTTAGCACCTAGACACAAACAACCACTAGTGCAGGGGTAGCCCCACTGCAAGGGCTAAGAACCATTTCTGCTTTAAACACACTTAAGCTAGCTGGTGAGATTTGGTCCAAGTCATGCTAACTCAACCAAATGTGACTGTTGTGTGGCCCAGTCAGCACCCCTCCACCCTAAGGAGCCAGTCTGCAAATTGTCAGCTGAACAGTAACTGCAGCCATCTGGCTGCATTCGTCGATCAGGTATTTCCACAGTGGCACACCCTCCGCTGTCTGAATATAATAAAGTAGCCAGGCAGGGGGTGGGGGTTTGCTGGGGTAGCCCAGTTGAGTTGGGCAGGGGGTAGCCTGGCCAATGGGCAGGGGGTAGCCTGGCCAATGGGCACGGGATCCCATATCCACACAGTTGGTTCTAAAGGAGAAAAACTCTTAATCCATGTTGAGGGACTGAAAGAGAACATTATTGGTGCATGACCAGCCATAGTCTAAAGTCTATATTCGACCTCTGCCGGGGTCTAACTGGGCTAACAGATACTTGCACCCAAGACCCATGGCTCTGTTCTTAATGAGCTTTCTGAACGGAGAATTGTCTTAGTGTCTTTGCTTTACATGGTTACAAGCCTGAAGCAACTAAAATAACTTTTGACTAGCAATGTGAAGTATAGGACGACTATAGATACAGAATACTAAAATGCACAAGCCATAGATGGGACATTGGTGTTCTTTCACATCTTTTATCATGTGACAAATGGGGTGTTTTTCTTAGCAATGTGGACTCTTGATGCCGTTTTTGTGGCGGACATCACTTTGGTGCATTCAAATGACTATAAAGTCAGATATATGAACTCTGGTATATACAATCTGAAGGCTTTACCTGCTACAAGTCATTTCAGGAATAAATCCAAACCAAATCCCAAAACCAAATCCAAAACCAAATCCAAAACCAAGACCAAAGCCAAATGACAACCCAGTATTTGTTGGTATGACTATATGTAGCTATATATATGGCTGGCATGGCCTAAAGAACTCCAGATTTGTCCAAAAATAGTTTGGATGTAAATGTGCAAATATTAAAGGTTTGTCCTCTGCAGTTTCCCCGGCAAACCTGACAAGTAGAAGAATTCAGAAGTCATGGCTTTTTGAGGAGATGGAGAACTATGTAACCCCGGCATGTGACATGGCTTATCCATAAAATGCTTCAGATTATATACATATATATTGTACCAAGCCATCTCGAGACTGAGTCACGGAAGCAAGGGATGCAGGTTTTTATCGTATGACAAAGCTGCCTTCAGTGATGTGATCAGGAGTTGGGGATGCCACGCACATGCTGCTACATGAGCCTCAACATCACATGGGGTTTTATTCCAGTAAATGTGCAGTGAGATTTTTAGGGGGCAGGTTGTATTTTATGTGTTGCCCATGTACTTTAGATCTCATTGCTGACCATCTAATTCTGTTGATATTTAGGAATGACGCGGTCATCATATCTGGGAGGAAACTGGCCAGACAGATCCGTCTGGAGGCTCGGGCAGAGGTTGAACAATGGGTGGCATATGGAAATAAGAGGCCCCATCTCAGCGTGGTCCTGGTCGGAGACAACCCTGCCAGCCATTCGTATGTGCTCAATAAGACCAGAGCCGCTGCTGATGTTGGTATGTATACTTCATTCTAAGCATTGTTGGCTGCGGTAGGGCAACATTAATGCTTTGCATGGAACTTGTGTGTAAATGCTTTAAAGGAGAACTATGGGGGTCAGGGTTTTTCCCCATAGTTCTCCTTAGGGTAACGGGAGGGCACAAACTAACGTCCTCCCGTCACCCTAAGCTCAGTATACTGCGAGCTGTAGCTGAGACGCCGGAGCGGATCCCGACATCGATGTCTGGATCCGCCCAGCTGCGTGAGTGACAGCTGGCTCTGCCTATCTAGAGGCAGAGCCAGCTGTACCCTCCCCCTCCCTGTCCGTTCCGCCAGTCAGCGCTGGTGGATCGGAGCGGGGAGAGGGGAATCCAGCCACTCCCCTGTCACGGCAGAGAGCCGTGACAGGATCGAGAGGTGAGCGAACCCGGTATGTGTTCGCTCACCTCCCGATCTACTGAGCCGACCTGTCAGTCTCATTGTCACAGGTCGTCTAGAACTATGAGGTGAGTGAAAAGCACTCACCTCATAGTTCTCCTTTAAGTGGCAGGAGGCATGCAGGAAAGGTTTATTAACAGTAGCATGGGAATGCAATGGAAACACTAACAGCAGAGGTTAGACTGTCCGAATGTTTTGCTCATCTGACTACCTTCTGATAGTTATATGCGGTTATTTTGGGGTAATTGAACATAAATGTAAGGTTATTGTTTTTTTTTTAATCAGTGACAGTTGCAGTAAAGGTATAGACATGAAAGGTATTGGCAGCTTACCTGTCCACTGTAGTAGGTCACGCCTCTTTCTCCTGGTTCTGGACTATGTAGTCTGAAGCAACCGTAGGAGTGTGTTGGGTTGGCTAATCCTTCAATCAAAATTGACAGATATTGGTTCGCATTTTGCACAGCAGATCGCGTTCACCTGTCATGCTGGTTTCTGGTCAACTTGATCTGTGCGCCGCAATACTGTTGCTGCCTTTCACACACCTACCCTCCCTAATGTCAGCTTGTTTTATTAAATCAGATCTGCCTTTTTTATGCCGAGCTTTACATACTACACACTCATATCAGTCCCTGTACTCAAGCAGCTTACAATATAAGGTCCCTTTCTCATACATGTAGTAGGGCCAATTTACACAGGAGCCTATTAACCTTCCAGCATGTCTGGAGTGTGGGAGAAAACAGGAGTACTCAAATGAAACCTACGCATGGAACATGCAAACTCCATGCAGATCGTGTCCTTTAGTACCCTAAAGACATATGCATTTTTCATGATTATGTATTGTGATGTGAAATTGTTTAGGGTTAAAACATATACAGTATAGAATAGTGTTTCACATCTCTATAGAAGAGGCACTTCCTGTATCTCTGAAAAGGAAAGACAAAACTATTCCTGTGTTTTTACACGTTTTAAGGTCATTTAATGTTTGTTAGCCTGATCATTAAAGGAGAACTATGAGGTGAGTGCTTTTCACTCACCTCATAGTTCTAGCCGACCTGTGACAATGAGACTGTCACAGGTAGGCTCAGTGGATCGGGAGGTGAGCGAACACATACCGGCGTTCGCTCACCTCTCGATCCTGTCACGGCTCTCTGCCATGACAGAGGATGGCTGGATTCCCCTCTCCCCGCTCCGATCCTCTAGCGCTGACTGGCGGAACGGACGGGGGAGGGGGCGGGTACAGCTGGCTCTGCCTCTAGATA